TTGAGCCACTAATTGTTGAGACTAAGTGTGGATTTAATTGTGTTAAGTAGAGATTGAATGAGTTTGGTTATAGCTGGATCCCCCTTGCCGGGATGGTTTATTATATTATCTTGTTCCCTTGCCGGGATAGCTTATTATAACATCTTTCTCCCTTGCCGGGATTATATTGTGTATTGTGCTGAATGAAATGGGATCGTGTGGCACGCCGACCACGAGATATTATGAAATGGGAGCGAGTGGTACACCTACCACGTGATATTATGAAATGGGAGCGAGTGGTACGCCTACCACGTGATATTATGAAATGGGATCGAGTGGTACGCCTACCACGTGATATAAGGAATTGGGATCGTGCTGCACGCCTGCAACGAGAGGAAATTGAAACAAGTGAAAGTAGTTTGTTTTCCCTTATTCTATGTTAGAAGAGATCAAATGTAGTTTCTTTTGTTATCCCTGATATTCTGTTTATCTGCTACCCCATAAGTATGTTCCCCCTCCCAGCTTTAATTATTTATTTTCCGCTATTACTTTGTGGTACTTGTATATATATATCTGCACAGGTTTATCTAGTAGTCTGGTCTAGCCTCGTCACTACTTCGCCGGGGTTAGGCTAGGCACTTACCAGCACATGGGGTCGGTTGTGCTGATGCTACACTCTGTGCATCTTTTTGCACAGATCCAGGTGTTGGAGTAGCATTTGAGTAGCAGTAGCATTCTGGGAGCGAGCTTTCAGTCCGGGGACATTCGAGGTAGCCTTGCTGATGTCCGCAGGCCTGGAGTCCCTTTCTATCTTATTCAGTTTGTTATCATTTGTACCGAAGCAGACAGTGTTATGTTTCATTCAAACCTTGTATTTAGTATTCTCTAGACGTTCGCGAGTATTGTGACACCAGTCTTGGGTAGAGGATTTTGTTAAATTTCCGCATTTCCTTCAGTTAATTATATTTGAGACTTCCGCTTTATCATATTATGATTTGTTTTCATCAAATGGGCGATAATTTGCTAAAAGAAGTAAATTAAGTTGGCTTGCCTAGCTCCTATTAGTAGGCGCCATCACGACTCCCGAGGGTGGGAAATCCGTGTCGTGACAGAGTTCTAGTTGATCTCAACCTCTAACTCCCTCCTTTTCTTAAGTCGTCTTGTCTTTGAGTAAGGAGTCTTTCTCCTTATCCAATATGCAACCTTTTCGATCAAGATCAGGAGATATCATTTCTGGTAAGTTAGTTTATCTCCTTCACGTGCATCTCACATGCTTGAGTTGACCATATCCGTGCTTCACTAGGATGGACCTGGTCCATGTCTGAGTTCCTTTGTCAATCTTCAAAACTCTCATTTACTTGGGCCAACAGCTTATGTTTTGTTTGTTTTGGACGAGATGAGGAAAGGCTCTATCAAAGAAGGACTGAGTACCACCGGTGAAGGGCTCGAGTGGGGCGTGCTTTTTGGTTTTGGGCCTGGGCTAACCGTTCAGACGGTCGTCCTTCGTTGTGTCTCTATTGGGTGAATGACAGAAATAGAACACTTCGGTGCCACTATTGGATTTATGCCACCTTTGTACTTGTAGAGAGACATCAATTGCAATTATGAGAACAGATTTCGTTGTAACCTCATATTTTTTCTCAGGAGATTCATATTTAAATAAAAAACAAAACTTATTCCACAGAGCTTGTTTTACAACTTGGAAGAATTTTTTGCAAGAAATTTTCAAAAACTTGAACAAAAAAAAAAAAAAGAACTTTCAGAGGTTTCTCTTGTATCTTTTGTTGCTATTGATATCCTTTGGCTTTATAAATAGGGTTTTTAACATATTTGGCCGGTAATCAAAAATAATTACAACCGCTATATACAAAAAAATTCACTTTATATATATATATATATATATTATATATATATAATATATATATATATATATATATATATATATATATTATATATACAGATAAAAAATAGGTTAACCGGCAGATAATATGAATATCTATTTTATCCATGACTTCTTGCATATGATCATTTTTGGGAGAATTCTTAGTCTTCCAAACTTGAGGAAACCACAATTTGAGGCTTTACAAATGTAAAAGTTAAATGGAAAACTATACTAAATACCCACACAATCCAAAATAATTACCCGTAATTACCCATATGAAAGTTTGTTACAAAAACTACCTATTCGGGTAAAACATTTTATGCGGCCTACCTATTCCCTTTTTCTTTTTAATTTGTTTCCCCAACGCTAGCTTAATCTAGTGGAAAATATTCTCTTTCCCCTATGAAGTGCAAAATTCCAGAACTTTCTCTTTTATAGACTATGGAATTCAGTTGACCCCGTCTTTTTATGTAATCTCATCGCTTTTATGTCAATTCCATGCTTGCTCGGATTTTGCACTGCGTACTTTTTGCTGAAATTAAAATTTTGCAGATTTTCTTAAAGTCGTTTTCCAAAATTTCAAATCTATGATTTTTTTCAACTTGAAGATTATACTATTAGATTTGAAGTGGGTGCTATAAGATATTGTCTATTGTACCTTTTGAGAAGTTTTGTTTTAGAAATTATAAGGTGTTGTTCTTTAATGGGAAAATCTCACTTTATACCCATTAATTTCAAACTATTTACCCTTTAATACCCAGGCCCAAACTATTTACTACTCCTACCCATGTGCCCCAAACTATTTACCCGCTAATTCACTGTTCCTTGGGAGTATAATAAGATTGGGAACAAACAGAAAAGAGAGACGATCAACACTTGATTCATTGCCGGTCTTAAGCAGAGTCGTTATGGCAAGAGTTGCTATGCTCCTATTCTGATCAGAAATCAAGCTCTCCATATCTATGTTGCAGTTTGTCATGGCCATAGGATGTGTCATATCTATCCTTCGACATCACATACAGGGCGTGAGCTTGTTTGAAGTTTTAGCACTGCAAACAAGTTTTCAACACTAAAATACGGGGCACAATTCAAAAACTAGATCATAGGAAGAACAGATCAATTTTTGAAACTCCATATGAATGAGTTCAAAATGCCAGATATAATTTTTATAGTGTTTTACTGTTGAAATTGGTTAGTTATTGTTCTTTGATGTGTAGATTGTACCTTTGATCCTGGTTTTTGGAGATTTATTGTACAAAAGTTTAAATCCACTATTGAAGGACCTTGAAGCTTGAAACTCATAACTTAGTTTAGTTGAGTTTTTAATTGTTTTGATCCGATCCTGTATGGGTTTGTTTGGAAAGTTGATTGGAGGTTGTAGCTAAAGTTTTAGTCAATTTGGTGGAAATTTTGTAGTAGATTTTATAAATTTGGGTTGAAATATAGTTGAACCAGAGAAGAAGAAGAATTTGTATTGTATACCCAAATAGTATACAAATATACCACTTTAGTGTACAATTCATTCCAAATATATACCCTATTAGTATAGCTATATACTATATTGGTATCATATGCTAGTTGAATCATTTTTTGGTTGTATTAGTTGCATTTAATTGGTACAATATTTGATTTTCTTATAATAATAGTAATATAGTACAATATCTTGACATACCTTATTATATTAATATGTGGTACACTATTTTTTTATTTTTCTCTTTATGCATGTGTGTTATGTAATAGTAGTATAGTCATATAGTTGCCAGGAATTAACTTGTAAAATTGTATACCATGTTGGTATATTTATATGCCATATTGGTATCATATGGTAGTTTGAACGTTGTTTTGGTTGTTTTAGCTGCATTTTAAGTGAATTCTATTATGAAATTATTTATATGAACATGAGTTGCAATCTGGAATTTTTGTGTGCCGATGGACATAAATTATGTGTATTATGTAATAGTTTTTATAGTTATAAACAATTGTTGGAACGACCCCATACAACTATATACCCTCTTAGTATACGAAATGAGCAAGTTGTTTTGCGAATATTTAGCTTGCAATATGAGCATGTAATTTTCTCATACTTTTATTGCGTCCTTTAATGTTTTGGTACAGTAGTATAGTCGCAGATAGTTGTAGCAATATTCTAGAGAAATCATATGCTCTGTTGTTATACATATATACCATATTGGTATCACATGGTACTAGAAGTCTTTTTTGCTACTTATACTTTTGTTGTATTTTTCAATATTTTATTATCATTTTTATTCTTACAAGTATATATGGAGATTTGGTTGCCGTAGATTATGTTTTCTTGCTCTATAACTGGTTGTATTACTGGTAATGGTAAAGTGTATTGATATTAATAGGGAAGGAGATCAAGGTTTGCATGGCAATCACGTGTTGATTCTTAGAATCTGATTATGTAATTTATGGTGCTCAGCAGCGGTCAATGTGATATTCAGTGAATTAGATCAAGTAACAACTGATATTATTTCAGTTTAATAATTGAATTTAAAAAATGAGAAAGAAAAAAAAGGTATATTGTACTATTTATATTAAAAAAAGGTGAATAAATATTTACTATATCAATTATTTTTTCTTATTGTATAAAAAATGAATAATAAAAAATAGTGAAAACGGTAAATGAAATTAGATTGTGAAGAGAAAAAGAATATAAAAGAAAAAGTTAAATGAAATTAGAAAAGGAAAAAAGGAAAAAAAAAGAAAAAAAACGAGAAAAGGAGAAAAGGAGAAAAGAAAAAAAAGAAGAAAAGTAGCATAGAAATAAAAAAAGAATTGGAGAATAAAGAAAAAATTCCCCACAAAAACTACTATGGGTAGGAAATGTAATTACTTTATGGGTAGAAAAACAAATGGGTAGACAAGGGTAAATAGTTTTGTTTTTTTGGGTAACTGTATCATTCTCCCAAAGTTAAACCCATTAGTTATCCATTGGTTATCCATTTTCTAAATGAATAATATGGTTCTTATTCATATTTGACTCGTTTTTAAAAGGTTCATTATCCAACCCATTTTTTAATGGATAATATGGGTGGATAACTGTTTTCTTTTAATCATTTTGTCACCACTAAGTGTAACAAACAGAAAAAATATGAAAGCTGAAAAGTACAACAAATCAAGAAAAAAAAAAAACCCAAGTACATAGGATTGAGATAAATTGTTACTGAATACAAAGGATATATAGATGTTTACAATTCAATGCCAGAGTGAGACAGAAACAAAACACAAAATCAAACTGATTACAATTTTTTCACACAAAACAAACCAAAATCTCTTGTTTAAAGATTAAACAAAAGAAATATCAATAAGTTAGATGAACAGTAATCCTTAACAGTGTCTCTGCACCATCTGTAACATGTTGACCAGCTGGTATTAGGGAACGAATCTCTGCAAATCCACAAGCATTTTTAAACTTACCAGTTCCTCCTGTAATTGAAATTCGAGACATGGGACTTGCAATTCTATAAACTCCAAAGAAATTGAGACTATCACCATATTCTCCTCCTTCAAACATGGCCGAAAACGCCATCATTTGAGTACTTCCATCAGCAGAGCTTGAAACATAGATACCTTGAGCTTTTCCAAGGTTTTGTGTGCCCAACTCTGGGGATGAAGTCAAGTAGTCGTCGATAACAGTAATGGTACCTGTTGAAACATAATATAATAAAGGTTAATAAAAAACGTCACGTTTGTGATAACTTAAGCTAAAATAATATGATCACACGGTTCAACATGGTAATAAAGCATGCAAGAGGTTTCTCGCTCAAATCTTAGTGCCACCCAAAAAACAAAAAATATTTCCACATTTTTGGTCAATGAAAAAGAATTAGACCTACACTTGAGGTCGTGTTAAGATATAAGTAACATAGTTAAGATTGTTAAAAGTGTAATTCCTCTCAAAGGTTGAGCCAAGATTTCAAGATTATAGGTTTAGAATTTTAATCCTTTTAAGTTACCGGAATCTAAATTAATAATTTATATATATCCAGTGATTTTTTCAAGGAAGGGGAGCCATGGAGCAACGGTCAAGTTGTCTCAATGTGATCTATAAGTTACGGGTTCGAGCCGTGGAACCAGTCATTGATGCTGGCATCAGGTTAGGCTGTCTACATCAAACCTCTTGAGCTGCGGCCCTTCCTCGAACCCTGCGTGAACGCAGGATCCTTTGTGCACCAGGCTGCTAATAACTTTTTCTAAACAAATATAGAATTTGAACCAAAGCTATTAGGTTCGCTCGAAGTCGTTCCGGCACTCTAGCTACACCCCTGATTCCATTAACAACTTAAAATTTTTGATAAGATGATCACACAGTTCAATATGATAGCAGAGTAGTCATAAGATTTTAGGCTCAAATCAAACCACTACCCAAAAAGCGGAAAAAATCCATGTTTTTCGCCAAGGGAAAATAATCATGCTGACACGTGAGAGAACATGTTGAGGCATGTTGAAACATACCAATATAAATAAGGTAATTGAAAGTATGGTATCTCTAACAGCTTAAACTTTTACGTACCAAAGCCGAGGCCCAAGCCATCAGGGCCTAATTGAGTAGTCACAGTAGTTTGGCTATTCTGGTTACCAGCAAATGTTGTGCCTGCTAAGCCAGTTCCTAGTGGAACACCATTGATATTGAAAGTTGGGATTGCACCATTGGAATTGGGAATTGCCACACCATCTTTGGGAGGTTGGAAACCAAGAGGCCTAGCAAAAGGGACTTGTCCACTGTAAATACTGCCTAATAATCCGGTTATCGGTCTAGCTGTTGGATTACTGCCTCCCAGAATATCATGCATGTATAATTCCAGGATCGGTTCGCCAGGAGTTTGAGTATCAACTGCAGAAACAAGTAGTGCCAAGTTGATTATTGCAAATAAAATAGCAAAGAAAATGGAGAATGGTGACTGACTTAGCATTTTGGGAATTTGCTTATCAGGGAAAACAGAGGTTTTTCTTTATGTTTTGGGTGCTGGATTAAGATGTTTTCTTGAATTGATTATACTTAAATTAGCTCAACATTGGCACTTTATATAGAGATGTGATCATAATGAGAGGAGGTGGAGTTGTTGTGAGATAGAGTAATGTTATTAACTGTTGGAGTTATTGTAACAAAACCTCACAAATTTTTGTGTCATCCATTATATAATTAACACAAACAGAAAGTTCTGTACATATTAATTTGTGTTTTAAAATATGTTTAGTCCTGTTAGTTGTATTTCGTTTCTTTGTAATTCAGTAGAAAGGAGACCTTTACAAGTAAGAATTAGTATTATCTGTTAAAGAGGACCATTACAGATCAGAGAAATGATCCATAGCCCAATTATTGAACCTAATCCATCTTAATTCTAGCTTTTATTTATTCTTATTATTATTATGTTCTTCGGTTTCTTTCCTAATACTGGTAGTTTGGCAGTTAATTTGTTATCTATATTATCTATAACTAGCATAAAAACTCGGGCGATGCGCAAAAATTTGACATAATATTAATCTTATAAAATTATGATCTAATACATCCTATTAATTTAATAAATATTAGTTGTATTTTATTATTTAATATAGTGTGCAGAAATATAATACAATCTATACAAAATTAAAGGATACATATCATACAGTAATCAAATAAATCGTTTGTTCGTTTTTATTTTTATTATTGAATTAGCAAGTACTTAGTACTATTGATACTTTTCTTGAGTGATATTTATTTATTTTTTATTTTTTAATTAAATAAAAATATAAATGTCATAACATTATCTCCATCCTCCTCTTTTCGTACATTCCTTTATACTGTAATATATATATATATATAATATATATATATATATTATATATATATATATATATATATATATAATATATAATATATATATTATATATATATATAATATATATATATACATATATATATAATAATATAGTATCTTTATATTTTTGTATTTTTCATTTGAGTTGAATGTTTCTTTATTTTTTATTTTTGTTTTTTTATTTTAAAATAATTTTAAAACTCCAACTTAAAACCACACCCCAATTTGAATTGGCAATTTTTTATTTTTTTATTTTCGTTTTTTATTTTAAAATAATTTTAAAACTCCAAAATTGAAACTTTTCCCCAAATTGAATAGGTAGTTTTTTTTTAAATTAATATTTTTGTTTTTTTATTGTTACTAATTATAAAATATCTATATTTATTAATTCAAATAGAATAACTAATTAATTCAAAACTTAAAAAGGTTTTTTTAGTTAAAAAGGTAGTTTATTTTGTCTTAACAATGTCACTTGGCTTTTGGTGGTTATGTCACTTGTCTTAATAATATGCTTTTGCCTCTCCTTTTATTATATATAGATTAGTGGTGGCAAAATAGTTATCCACCCATATTATCCATTAAGAATGGACTGGATAATGAACTTTTTAATAACGGATAGAAAATGGATAACTAGTGGGTTCAACTTTTACATTTGTTACGCCTCAAATTTGGGGTTCCTCAAGTTTAGAAGATTAAGAATTCTCCCAAAAGTGATCATATTCAAGAAGTCGTGGATAATATGGATATTCAAAATATACGCCGGTTAACCCATTTTTTATCCGTATTAAATATGGATCGTGTCGGATAATTTATCCGTTTTTTACGTTATCCGTTTTATCCCACCCATCTCCGGCCCGACCCGCCCGTTTGCCACCCCTGTCTATAATCCGAGTAAATTTATTTAATCGGATATTCAGAACAGGTGCAAATTAGTTTGACCGAAATAATCAGATAAATCACACTTTAAAATTTAAATCCCGCAAATATTTGATACCTATTGCGATCAGAACAATCTAAAGAGCAAGTATGTCATGTTGAATGATTGGAAACAGCTTGGAAGCTGATATTATTCGCATTACAAAGCTTTTGCTGATTTGACATTTTGGTTTACTCAGGGTAAGGGTGTACTGTGGGCCGGGTCCAGCCCGGGACCGCGAGCCCACGGGCCGGTCCAAACGGTCCCAAAAGCCACTGTGGGCCGATCCTCTATGCTGAGACCACCAGCCCGGGACCGTTTAGCCCGGGACCGGCTGGCGGGCGGGCCGGTTCAAACGGGCCTAACGGGCCCAACGGCTATTTTTCAAAAAAAAAATTAAAAAAAAGGCCAACGTTTTGAAGTTTAAAAACTAGCCGTTGGCCTGCCAATTTAGCCGTTTGGCTTTTTAAAAAATAGTCATTTGGTCCCCAAACTTTATTTTAACCCAAAACTTTTTATAATTACACTTTTTCCTTTTTCTCAACTATAAATACCCCCTCATTCTTTCATTTTTACTCACAAAATCATCAATCTCTCTCTAATTTTCTTCTATAATTGCTTACTGTATTATTGCAATTTGTGAAAAATTATGAAGTTGGTGAATTGAAGTATTCAAGTCTTCAACGATATACAATTTTCAAGAAGTTGTTCGTCAATTAGGTAAACTCGTTTCAACTCTTAAGTTTTAATATTATAGTTTTGTTTGTTTTAGTTTGTATAATTATAATTAATATGGCCTTTTCTTTGAAAAAAATGTTTGGTGGTAAGGGAAAATCTGAAATTGGTGAATCTAGTCGCCAAGCTACTATCCCTCCCCCGGCTCCCCGACCCAGACCTGTTACCCGTCCTCCTCCACCTATTATTCTTGATAGTGATAACCCTTGTTTTCAATTTAGCGATAGTCAATTGTGCCATGATGTTGCACCAGGTCAACAATTAAATGATGAATATATGAATGCTCTTTATCCTAATGAAACTATTGATGAAAATGATGAGGAAAATGATGATTTAGATGAAACGCAACCGGATTTAGATGATACACCTACTAGTCCTGTTGTTAACCCAACTGATAATAATTCAAATGATGCCCCGCCTGACCCTCCTGGAGTAACCCCTACTTTTAATAGACAACGTTCTAAACGCCCCGAAACATCTCTTGTTTGGCACTTTTTTACTCAACTAAGAGAACAAAATAAGGCTAAGTGTAAAACTTATGGGTCTTTGATGACTCATAAATTTGCTGGAGACCATAGCGGTACGGGTAGTTTGACTAGACACATAAAGACACACCCTAGAGATAAAGCTAGATATCTTCAAATGAAAGCGCAGCTAGAGGGGAGAAGTGTAGGTATTGAGGTTAACCCTAGTACCGGGTCAAATCTAGTTCAACCGGGAATTAACACTATTACTGGTGGCATTTTATATTACGATCCAAATAAAGATCGTGAAGAATTAGCAAAAATGGTTACTGTTATGTGCTTACCCTATAGTTTTCCTTCTAACCCTCACTTTGTGCATTATATTAGAAAAGTTTTTAATACTACTTATAAAGGATGGCCTCGCGCAACCGTAAAGAGCGATATTTATAAATATAAACATGAATATGAACGATATTTGCGGTATTTATTTACTCATATAGATTGTCGCATTGCTATTACCACTGATATTGGTAGAAATGGTAATGACTGTGATTATCTGTCACGACCCCAGTTCGCCCTCCGTGAACATGTCGTGATGGCACCTAGTTCCAATAACTAGATAAGCCTAACAATGCGGAAAAACAACATAACTTGCAGAATAATTAATTAAAACTGAACAACTAAAAGAAAACTGTATATATAACTGCCGCTTGGCATATACAACTCAAAATAAATGCGGAAGACTTCTATAACACCCCAAAACCCGAAAACTCACGGGAACACAAGCTAATGAAAAGTAATATACGGCTCTAATCTCCAGGATTTGTCTAAACAAAAGTACGAAAGAAGGTTAAATACTACAGATAGAGTAAAGAGAGAGACTCCTTGGTCTGCGGACGCTGCAGAACTACCTCAAAGTCTCCGTAGCTCTCCTGGCCTCAAGGATAGTGCGCCTGAGATGAAGTACCTGGGTCTGCACATGAAAAACATACGCAGAAGAGGCATGAGCACACCACAGCGGTACTCAGTAAGTGCCAAGCCTAACCTCGGTTGGGTAGTGACGAGGAAAGGTCAGGGCCCTACTGAGATAAAACACAATATATAATAGGTTAAGGGAAACAATATAGATAAAGTCTACAGCGAGAATCTAAACAGGATAAATAAGGGAAACAGTAATAGGAAGCAGAAACAAACCAATATAAGGAATACTGCTCACAACAGGAAGTAATAGCCGGGGGCCTCTTGGTATCCCGAGGATCTCTTGGTATCCTCACCATATACACTAGGGATCTCTTGGTATCCCGAGGATCTCTTGGTATCCTCATCATATACACGAGGGATCTCTTGGTATCCCGAGGATCTCTTGGTATCCTGAAATCTTACATTTTACATGTGCCAGGGGTCTCTTGGCATCCCGCACCTCAGTCCAGAACATAACAAGTACAGGGGATTTCCCGGGATGTCGTCCCGTAGTCCCAAATTTAAAGCATACAATAACAGCCCAAACATTAGGATAAATGCTAAACTCAGAACAAGTAATAGAAATCCTAGCCTAACATTCTTCACGTAGTATAAAACAAGACAGTTTAAGCACTTAAGCAAGTAAGTTAAATAAACATGCTTCTTTAAACTAGCATAGGATAAACTTGCAATTCAAAATATCAGGTAAGCAAGAAAATTTCAATTTAAAAACTTCAAGTAAAATAGATTTCCAACAATTAGCTCAGGTACGCGCTCGTCACCTCACGTACGAGGCTTTCAAATATCAATATCATGTCCTAAGGGGAAGAGATCCCCCACACAAGGTTAGACAAGCCACTTACCTCAAACCGGCTCCAAAATCAACTCGAAACCACACTTTTGCCACGAGTATCCGACTCCAAATGGCCCCAATCTATTCTATTCAATTACATATCATAAATAACATCTCAAGCAACTAATTCTACTATTTAATTTAAAGCTAAGACGCGAATTTAGGTAAAATGACCAAAACGCCTTTCAGGCCAACGTCTCGGAACCGGATAATTTTTACATTTTCAGAACCCTCGTACCCTCACGAGTCTAAGCATATAAAAATCTCCCAAATCGGAGGTCAAACACCCA